TTTTTTTTTTTTTTCATTTCATTTCATATTTAATCAATTCTCATTTTTCTTGATCTATTGAATCACAATTGTAGCAATATTGTACTAATCTAACTATAATAAATGTTAATTACTCTTACTAACATTTTTTATTTTTTATTTTTTTTTGCAGAGAAAAAAAAATGGCTCCCATTGGACTTTTTCTCATCGGTTTTCTCACATTTTTTTCAAATGTCGACGCCTATGGCGGTGGTTGGACCAATGCTCATGCCACGTTTTACGGCGGCGGTGATGCCTCCGGCACAATGGGTAAATCCCCCAATAATAATAATAATAATAATAATTATTGTTATCTAAATAATATTTACAAAATTAGGATGAATCTAATATTTCCAGATTTATTTTTTTTAGGTGGTGCTTGCGGGTACGGGAATTTGTACAGTCAGGGGTATGGTACAAACACGGCAGCGTTGAGTACAGCACTGTTCAACAACGGGCTGAGTTGCGGGTCGTGTTACGAGATAAAGTGCGTTAACGACGGGCAGTGGTGCCTGCCCGGGTCAATTTTGGTGACGGCCACGAATTTCTGCCCGCCGAACAACGCCTTGCCCAGCGACAATGGCGGGTGGTGCAACCCGCCCCGGGAACACTTTGACCTGTCACAACCCGTTTTCCAGCACATGGCCAAGTACAAAGCCGGTATTGTCCCTGTTGTTTACCGAAGGTAAGAGAGAAACAAAAAAAAAAAAGAAAAATTAAAATGTAATTTTGTTCAATATCTTTTGCAATTACTCTCTGATTTTTTGATATTATATTTTCGAAAATACTAAAGTCTCGTTGCGGAACTATTTCGTAATAGTTCGTCGGGAGAGGTTTGTAACTGTTAGATAATCGTGTAATTGTCAGAGATAGTTGATCTAATACGATTACAACTTCGGAGAATTTGTTTCGTAATGAGACTATAACATTTTTTTATATTTTTAATCTATTTATTTAGCTTTCAATAGACTTTATCAGCTATCAATGGACCGTAGAATCTTCCCCAAATACCCTTACTAATCACTTGAATTTTCAAATTTCACTACTCAAATTTGCACAAGACACAAAATTCTCATGAATTTCACCATTTTTTATTCCCTTTGTTATTATGTATAGGGTTCCGTGCATCCGAAAAGGGGGCATAAGGTTCACAATCAACGGCCACACAAACTTCAACCTCGTCCTCGTCACCAACGTCGCCGGCGCCGGCGACGTCCACTCCGTGTCGGTGAAGGGTTCCCGGACAGGCTGGCAGGCAATGTCCAGAAACTGGGGGCAAAATTGGCAAAGCAACGCAAAGCTCGACGGCCAGAGCCTCTCCTTCATGGTCATCGCCAGCGACGGCCGGAAGGTCGTCTCCAACGACGTCGTGCCTGCCGGCTGGTCTTTCG